GACAGGGTGAAACGGGCCCACCGGGAATTCCCATTAAGTCCTGGTGACCTGGATTTGAACTGCCGGAGCTGTTCCCCGGGGGCTGCACCTCTGCTGGAGATCCGGGGCACGGCCGTGGCTGCCGCGGCCGCGCGGGGGTTAAAGCGGAGCGTTGGAGGCTGGACCGCGCCCGGGATGACACGGGCCGTGAGTTGGAAAAGACCCGCCAGCGATGCGGGCAGCACGAGACCGCTCCTTAAAGGGCATCGGGAAATTTTCTTGTTCGCTGTCTGGTCACAACAGACCGCAGGAATTGGGGTTCCCCCGTTTTCCCCGGGATAGTCGTGCCCTCCCCCCGGAACCGGCGGCGGCGCAGCCGAAGTTGAAGGACACCAAAGCTTTCGATCACGTTTTCAGGCCACTGGCTGAGGACAATCCTCCCCCTCCCCCGGTTGTCTGGGTTCTCACCCCCCTCCAGCCCATGGCCTCTCATGGTCACTGGTGCTCTGACCCACGAGCTGCCCCGTCCTCCCCAGCGTGTGTCCGGCTGCAAGAGGCTCTGCCGGATTCCCGTCGGGATTTGGCTGATGTCCCCAGTGCCAGGGGCTGCTCTTGCCTATGCTCCAGTTCCTGAGCTGACCCCAGGGCTCAGCTCCTCTTTCCTTTTCCCTTTTCCCCTGACAGGGAGAGTTCAGTGCTGTTGGGGCTGCTCCTGGCAGGTCCATTCCCCTGAACTTGTTAAGCCTCAAAGAATTTTTAAAAGTGATTTTGGGTTTGACATGAGTCAAGTTTGTGAGCAGCTCTGGGAAGGCTGAGTTTCTGCTCAGGTCCTTATTCTGTGCTGTTGGGGGATCCTCACGAGAAAGTGGGTCAGTGGTGACTCAGACTGGGCAGAGGAAGGTCCCAGCTCAAATACCTTTGTATTCACCCAAAAGCCAAACAGTCCCAGCTTTCCTCTGCAAAATGTTTTGAGCCCCAGGTGACACTGGCTGTGTCTATACAGTGGGTGTGTTATCACAGGACTTTTAATACTTCAGGGGGCCCATAAGAGAATGGAGACAAACTTCTCAGTGGTGCCTGTTGTGACAGCACAAGGGGTGATGGTTTTGTACTGAAGGCCAGTCAATTTAGATCAAATTTAAGAAAGAAGTTTATTGTGATGAGGGCGGGGAGGCCCTGGCACAGGTTACCCAGAGAAGCTGTGGCTGCCCCATCCTTGGGAGTGTTTGAGGTCGGGTTGGATGGAGCTCCAGTGGAAGGTGTCCCTGCCCACGGCAGAGGGATGGAATGGATGATCTTTAAGATGGTCTTAATCTTCTGTGATTCCATGGTCAGCCTGAAGAGCTCAGGGACACAGCCAGCAGGAAGGAGCCCAGGAGGTGAGTGTGGTCACCACAACCTGTTGTGTTTGCCAAACTGCCACAAGCATTTACCAAAATTCCTGTGACCATTCATTCCAATCCATTCCAATTCCACCTGCCCAGCTCCACCTGGTCCACCCAGAGCTGGAGTCACCTCCCCTGAGGATGGCCTGTGCTCAGCAGAGCCTGGGCAGCTGGATGCTCTGAGCTCTCCTTCCCCCATGCCTGGTTTCTGGAATGCCTGTGGGGGGACAGGCCTGTGTGAGGTGTGTGGAGCCACTTTCCCCAAATGGCCTCTTTTCTGTGCACAGGTTTGTTTCTTGTTTCCAGCTGGAGCCTCAACAGCAAAATTCCCATCGTGGGCAAGACAGAGATGGGATGTGCTTCCACCTGAGGTGTGTGTGCTCCTCCTGCAGAGTTTCTCCATGGTGATAGAACTGTGAATTTCCCTAAAATTCACATGTATTAAATAAAAGCCTCTCTCCTCCCCTCCCAGTGTCCTGGTTTGTGGTCAGAGTTCAGTTCAGGTTCTTCCTTATTTGCGTGGGAAACGAGGATGTGGTTGTGAAACTTGTCTTTGAGGTGTTATTTTCCTCACCTGTGATGTACCCCCACGGAACTGGGATGTACCCCCACGGAACTGGGATGTGCCCCCACGGGACTGGGATGTGCCCCCACGGAATTGGGATGTGCCCCCATGGAACTGGGATGTACCCCACAAAACTGGGATGTGTCCCCACGGAACTGGGATGTGCCCCATGGATCTCTCCCTTCAGGACACAATTCCCCATCATTCCACACAGCAGCAGCGGTGCCTCCCGACCATCTGACGTGTCCCTCTGCTCCCAAAGGTGCCCCAAACATCCCAGGAGGAGCCTGACCCTCCCTCTGCTCACACAAACTGCTCCTCACATGGAACCCCCTCACCCCCCATGAACCCACAACCACCTTCCTGGGGAGTCCACGAGGGCTTTTGTCCTTGTGCTCACCCCAAAAGCAGCGTCTGCCTTGTTAGATTAGAGTTGAAAAATTGCAGCCAGATGGTCGATCATCAGCTTCAGCAACCAGAGGAGTGGGGATATTTTAGGTTCGAGGGTTTCCCATTATGCAATGGCGCAGACACGGGCGGGGGAAGCTTTGGGTTCTTGTTTCTTTGGGTTTACTAATTATGAGGGATTTGTTTGGGTTTTTTTCCCTTAGGTGAAGGGTCTGAAGCACCAGGAGCAGCTGAAGGAGCTGGGGGGGCTCAGCCTGGAGAACAGGAAGCTCAGGGGGGACCTTCTGGCTCTCTGTGACTCCCGGACAGGAGGGTGGTCCCTGACATAGCCCTGGTGAGTCAGGAGAAGGGAAGGAGCTGAGGACAGGCAGGAATTCTGCAGCACCTGCCTGTGCTCCCAACCTGGGGCAGCTGAGTGGTGGGATGTGGGAGCTGGAAAGGATCTGAAGCAGTTTGTGATGGAGGGAAGTGGCAGCCTGGGGTGTCAGGCACCTTTGGGCACTAGACCTGCTGCCTCCTGCAGTTTTTGTGATCCTGGGGAGTTGTCCAAGACACATCCAACACACCCTGGTGATGTCACGAGCCCCTGGCACAAGGACCCTGCCCTGATCATGCATTGTGGGTGTTGTGTGACCCTGTGGGGCAGCAGGATGGAGCTGGGCCCACCTTAAATCATGGGTTTTGCCCTGCTGACCCTGAAGACTCTGAATAACTCAAGATTCAGAGGCAGCCTGTGCATCTGGAATATTTCTGACTCACTCATCGTGCTGGTATCTCAACACCAGCCCAAAATAGCTCCGTGCTGTGGTGCAGCTCCTCTGTGGCTGGAGCAAAGCTGCACTAAAGCCTTTATGGGGTACAAAGATGCCCCTGCAGCAACAGGCTCACGGTGCCAGGGGTGGGGAAACAGCCCCGTTTGCTCCCAGTCTTGCCCTGGTTGGGGAGGGCACCGTGGTGAGGGGGCAGTGATGGGGGGCTCCTGGTGCAGACCCCTCAGCTCTGCTGTGCCCACTCACCCCGTGCTCACTGCCACAGCCAGAGGCACCTCCAGCATCTTCCTCTCCCCACACCACCCCCTGTGAGGCTGCAGCCACTGGGGGCAGAGCGAGAGGACAATGATTATCCCTTTAATAAGATGGGCTGGACCCTTCCAGAACCAGAGAGAGCCCCCCACCTGGGGCTGGGTCTCCCCCCGAGGAGGCAGCACCCAGGGGCCACCCTGGCAGCCCCCCGAGGTGCTCAGGGCACCCCCAGCACCCCGGGTCGGAGTATTGGCCCCGTGCTCAGCATCTCCTCACAGGGTGCTGGGTCCGGGGTGTTTTCCTGCCATGCATGGGGGGCACCAGAACGGGTCCCTTCAGGGCTCTGCGGGGCGAGGGGTACCTCCATCGCCGTTTTTGAGGGTTCTGGAGGGGGTGGTAACAGCAGGAATTGTTCTGCATCCTTCCCCTTGTCCCCTGCGGGCAGAGAAGGGTCCCCCAGAGGAGCGACGCCCGCGTGGTGACCCCCCACCTGCCACCGAGTCTGCCAGGAAAGGACCCCGGACACGGGGAATGTGCTGCACCCCCCCACTCCCAGCCAGTGCCCGTGTCCCCCCAACCTGTGCCCATGTCCCCGCAGTCCATCCTCCCAGAGCGGGGCTGGGGCCGCGGGGACACGCGTGGCCCTGGAGCATCTCGGGGACGTCAGGGATGCGGGTCCAGCCCAGGCGCGCATGGGCTGGGCTGGGAGAGCCCTCTCCTGGTCGGTGGCTGTGGAGTGGCTGTGCCGGGGAGCCCGGCTTTTCCAAGGAATCGGCCCGCTGTGCCAGGGAGTCCGGCTGTCCCCAGGAGCCCGGCCCAGCCCCCGCTCAGCATTACCCGGGCTGGTTCCACGGGAAGACGCTCCACCCTCGTAGGTCCCTCTGAAAGCTGGGGTCCCGTCCCCCAGATCCCCTCTGCCAGGGGTCGCTGCCAGGATTCTGTGCGGTGCTCACCCAGCTGAGGGGGTCCCTGGGATGGGACAGTGTCCCTGGAATGGCACAGGGACTGGTGGCCATGGTGGGATAGGGTGGGAGCAGTGTCCTTGCACTGGGACGGGGACGGATGCCCGTGGTGGGACAGGGATGGAGGATTGTCCCTGTGCTGGGACAGGGATGGAGCAGCGTCCTCACACTGGGAATGAGCATCTCTGTGGTGGGACAGAGAACAGCCACTTGTCCCCGCAGTGGGATAGGGTCCTCAGCCTGGCAAAGGCTCGGAGGGAGGGAGCTTGGTGGCACTCGCCATGTGCCATCGGCTCCATTCTGGGAGACTCCCGGCCCAGGCATGGAAATTGCGTGGAGTGTGGGACGTGGGGAAGACGTCAGCGGGATGAGTTGAACGGGACCAAGGGCCGGAGCATCCTCACAGATGAAATCTGGGGAGGCTCTTGCCCCCGTCCCCGAGCGGGTGAGAAGCAGAGCCCCATCGTTTTCCAAACCTTTATTGTAAATAAATTTCTGCGACATTGCAGGAGGCGGCCGGGGCCAGAGCCGGGGTCGAGCCAGGAGCGCACGGTAGCTCCAGCACCGGCTCCGGCGGCTCCAGCGGCGGCTCCAGCGGCTCCCAGCACGTGCAAAGCAGGAGCGGAGGCGCGGCGGGCGCTGGGCGGGGGCGGCGGAGCCCCCCGGGCCCGGCCCGGCTGCGGGCGGTAGCGGAGCGAGGCGGTGCGGGATGGCGGCGGTGCGGTGAGGGGGGCACGGGGGGTCCCCGCCCCGCTGTGCTTGTCCCCGGCTGCGGGACAGGACGGGGCCCGTGGGCTCAGCCTGTGGGGGCTGGGGGGGGTTCTGCTCTCTTGGCTCTGGAAGCACCGGGTGTCCCCCCCGCCACGCCACGGGTGCCCCCCTCGTCCCCACCATGGGCCCTCCCGCCCTCCCGCCCTTACAGCGTTAAAATCATTAAGAAAAGTCCTGATATTTATATATATATATATATATTAATGTCCCCAAACCCGGTGACAACGGTGGCTTCTTGCTCTGAGCCAGAGGCGTCCCCTCGCCCGGGAAGCACCTCGGGGCTGTGGCTGTGACAGCTGTGGGGACACTGCGGTGACAGTGACAGGGATGGGGGTTGATCCAGACCCCTCCCGTGCCCACGGTGACCTCAGGTCCCCGTGTCCCCCAGCCCGTTGCTCGTATGTCACACAAGAAGCCACCAGAGAAGCCCAGTCTGGGGATGTCCAGCCACCCCCATTCTGCTGTCACCCCCACCCTGTCCCCTGTGGTGCTACCCGTGGGTGCTGTGGGTGCCCAGCGGGGCTGTCACACCAGGTTGGGGCCACCTCCTGCCTTGGCTTGGGGACAACCTCGGTCACCCTCAGTCTCCATAGCAAAGGGGCTCGGTGTGGGGCAGGGACACCAGGCAAGGGGGACACACAGAGGGGACACCCCACACTGCCATGGGCATGGCATGTCATCCCCCGTTGTCACCCTGCTGAGTGTCCCCAGGAGTGTCCCCACACATACAGACACACACCTCGAGTGTCACCAGGGGTGTCCCCCTCCATGCTGAGTGTCACCAGTGGTTGAAGGGACCAGTGTGGCCCCTGGTGCTTTGTGGTGCTGTGGGTTGGGTGGCCCTACAGAGTCACCCCATGCAGAGTGACATGTGCCACATGCCTTGGGACAGGGTCACACATCCCCCACACCTGCCCTGGGGATGGGGAACACCCATTGTGGGGGGGACAGGTGCCACGAGCCTGTCCTGGGGCTGGGGTGACATGAAAGTGCCCCACGTGCCACCCGTCCAGGGCTCACCCTGTGCTCCAGTCCCCCGGGGAGGGCCCTGCTGTCACCTGCCCCCCCCAACTCCAGTGTCACCAGTTTGGGGTTTACCTGCCTGAGCTGGGGAAGTGGTGGGGGGACAGCCCCCACCCTAGAGGAAGAGCTGTCACCTGTGGGTGCCGGTCCCACCACTGGGGACCTCGGGGTCTCATGGCTTGGGGGGTGTAGCCATGACATGGGGGGTTGGGGGAAGTTTGAGGGGATATAAACCATATGGGGGCTGCTGAGCCACTTTGGGGGGGGAGGGAAGCACATCTGGGGGTGCAGTCCTTGGTCCCCATCTGGGCTGGGGGGACACAACACCCAGGCCCTGCACTGGGAGAGGGGTGCTGGCCTGGTACTGGGCCTACTGGCCTCATCCTGGGGGACACGGGGCTGCCTTTTGGGGGACCCAGGCCCCCAGGCTGGAAGATGTTGCTGGGGGGGCAGGGAGGGGGATGTGGGGCCGGGGGCTCCCCGCTGGCCCCCGCAGGTACATTCATCCCGGTGCCGAGTGCCGCCAGCCCGGGGGGGCCGGGGGTCCCTGTACATTCGTGGTGGTGCAGTGGGGGGGTCGGGGGGTGGTCCCGGGTGCCCCCCCACCGCTCTCCTCCTCGGCCGGACCCTCGGCAGCGCCGCCCCATTTAATTGCTGTTAATGAGGCGCTGGGGGGGTGGGGCAGAGCAGCCCCGCTCAGGCCCCCCCGGACCTGCAACACAGAAGTGGGGTGTGTTTAGTGGGGGGCTGTGACAAGGGGGTGACACATGGGGGGGACACTGAGCTGAAATGAGCCAGCACCGGGGGGGGGACTGCTGCCAGGCCCCCCCAGCCGCTGTCCCTGTTCAGCTGTGGGGGCACAGAGATGGAGACAGCACGGCCGGACACACAGCGACATGGACAGACGGGCCCGGGGGCTCCCACGCCGTCAGGCTGCCGGACGGTGACGGTGACAGGGACGGTGACGGGACGATGGGGGGGACACGGTTACACTCCCTGCTGCGCCGGGTCGTACCTTCCTCGGCGGATGTTCCTTGGGGGGGTGGCAGGGGGAGAGGAGAGGAGCATTAGTGCCACCCCCAAGTCTCTGCTGTCCCCCCCGGGGTGTTCCCCCCCCCCCGGTGTCCCTGGTCCCACAGGCAGCAGCAGTGTCCCGGTGCCAGGCAGGGGCACACACAGGGGGCCACTGACACAGCCCCTGCTCCAGCACCCCATGCTTGGGGACAGACACGGCCACGGGGTCGGGGTGACAGTGACACCCCAATGGCACATGCAGGCAGGGCAGGCAGGGCCAGGGGGCAGGCAGGGGCTGGGACAAGGGACCAGGCAGGGCCAGGGGACCAGGCAGGGACAAGGGGACCGGGGGCCACACTGCAGGGGATGACCAGCCGGGGGGACTGGCAGTGCCCCGGGGGGGCACAGGCCTGGTCCCGGGGTGGTGACGGTGCACGGGGAGGACGTGGCCGGTGACAGCAGCAGAGGGGACGAGCCATGCGGTGGCTGCTTACTTAAATCCCCAGCCTGTCCCCCCAAGGACGATGGCAGCCACCAGTACGGCCCCCGCGATGGAGCCGATAATGATATTGGTGCCACTGGGACCTGTGACAGAGGGGACAGGGAGGAGGGGACAGGGTCACACGTCAGTGGGAAGGAGACACGGGGACATGGGGACACAGCCCCAGCGATGTCCCAGTGCCAGGGGGACTTGGGAAAGGGACAAGCCCAGCCACAGGGAACATGTCAATAGGAAGGGGACATGAGGACACCAGGACACAGCCCCAGGGCAGTCCTAGTGCCGTGAGGACCTGGGAGGGGGACAAACCCAGCCATAGGGAGACACCTCAGTGGGGAGGGGACTCAGGGACACAGGGACACAGCCCCAGGAACACCCCAGTGCTGTGGGGATCCGGGAGAGGGGGCAAACCCAGCCGAGCTGCGGCACCGGGGTGGGGGGACACTCTGGATCCCCGGTGTGGATGTGGACAAAGTGGGACCCCCCCAGTCTGCGGTGCCTGGGGCCAGTGGGGTTGCAAGGAGCCCGCCCCCCCCCCCGCGGGCACACGGACCCTTGTATCGCTCCGTCTCCCCCGTCGGCTTCGGCTCCGGGATGGGGTCGTAGACGCTGCAGTCCTTCCCCGTCCACTCCGCCCGGCAGATGCACTTCCCCTCGTTGCTGCAAACCTACGCAGGGACGGTGTCACCCCCGTGACCGTGACACCCCCCGGGTCCCCTCTGTCCCCGCCGTGCCCCTCACCCCGTGGTCGAAGCAGATCTTCCCGTCCCAGCTGCCGGGGCAGGAGCTGAAGTTAAAGGCGGTGGCTGGAAGGCATTTGCGGTCGAGACAGAGCATTCCGGGCCCGCAGGGCGTCCCGTCCTCCACGTAGCTCAGGTCTGAGCCGTCCACCAGCTGCACGTGGCCCCCCCTGTGCCGGGACAGCCAGAGCGGGTGGTACCGGGACCGCCCTGCCCCAGGGCCACCGCTGTCCCCGCGGTGACACCCACCTGCAGTCCACGTAGCGGTTCTGGTGGAAGAAGGTGGTGGTGGCGATTTCCCCGCTGAGCTCCCCCACCCGCGGCGACCCCGAGATGTTGGCGCAGAGGAGGAAGCCGCAGAGGACGTCCCTGGAAGGCGGCGGGGGTGTCACTGGGGTGGCGGGTGGCGCCGGGAGGGGGCGCAGGGACGAGGGTCACTCACTGCTTGTTGCACTGCAGCCAGCCCAGGCCCTCGCGCCCGCAGTTCCCCCGCTCCGTCCCCTCCACGTTCAGCTTCTCGTAGCAGAAGCGCTCGGCCGAGCCTGGGGCAGAGGGGGTGTCACCTGCCTGTCACCCGCCTGTCAGCCCTGTGTCCCCCACCCCAGGCCCGCACTCACCACGGCCCCACAGGGCATTGCACTGACGGTCTCGGGTTTTGCAGCGCCCGCCGTAGCATCGTCCCTGTGAGAGGGGAGAGGAGTCAGGGGCTGGAGAGGGATCAGGGGCTGCAGAGGGGTCAGGGGGCTGCAGAAGGACTGGGGGCTGCAGAGGGTCTCCCACATGTGCATGGCTGTGGAGATGGTGCAGGGACAATGAGCTCCCCACACGTGTGCCTGGCCCTGAGACCACCGCCCTGGCTCATACAGTACAAGGAGTGGGACCCTCACGTGTGCACAGCCACGGGACAGCAGTGGGCACACAGAGACCCTGGCTGACCCCAAAACCTGCACAGACTGGTTTGGGATGGAAGGGACCTTAAAGAGCATCCATTCCACCCTCCTTCCATGGGCAGGGACACTTTCCACTAGGCCAGGTTGCTCCAAGCCCTGTCCGACCTGGCCTTGGACAGTCTCAATGCTCTTCCAACAAACACGCCCAAGCCCCGATGTTGGAGCCCACGGGGACATGCCCAGCTCCAGGGCCCTGTCTGACCACACAGGGCTGGACTCACCTGCTCATTCTCACAGAAGTATCCATCCAGCTTGTGGAGGTTGGGGGGACACTGTGGGGATGTGGAAAAGAGGGCAGGTGATGCCACATGGCCCCACAATGTGTCCCACTGTGTCCCCAGCCCCACTCACCTGGCTGGAGTCCCCGGTGCAGCTCTCGGGCATGTCACACTCGTTCACAGCCTCCCGGCAGGACACACCCCGTGGCTCGTACTGCACAGGGTGTGACACCAACACATCAGGAATGGGACAGAACCCTTAGGGGATCCCCAGATCCAGAGCCCCCCCAGTGCCACACCTTGCAGCCCTTGCAGCAGAGCCCGTCGCTGCACATGGCATCGTGGGTCAGGGTGCACTTCTTGCAGCAGTTCCCCCCGCTCCTTGCACACTCCTGCCAGGACAGCAGCCAGAACCACAGCCATCAGCCCTCTGGCATCCCCGAGATGCCCCCATAGTGTCGGGGAGCAGCCCCCCATCTGGTGAGCAGCCCCCCGTCCCTGCTCACCGCCAGCGAGCCACAGTCACACTCCTCGCCCGCCTCCACGAAGCCGTTGCCGCACTCCGGAGGGTCCAGGAGCTGCCGGGACCAAGGAGGGGACATGGCACACACACGAGAGCTTCTGGGGGGACCCCGAGCCAAGTGCTGCCACGAGCCCCCCAAAAAGGGCATCACATCCCTGGGGAACGGCAGCACCCCCAAACCGCTGTCAAGCATGAGGGTGCAGCTCTTCCCCAGCCAGTGACCCCAGGTTCAACACTGGCACCGTTACCTTGGCTGTGACAGGGGCTGGGGACACCACGAGTCCCAGGTGACCCCGGGAGCCACCCCCAAGGTCGGGGGCCGGGGGGGTCCGTTACCTTCAGGGGTTTGTTGAAGAGGCAGCTGCCGCCGCCGTCCTGCAGGAACTGGTTGTACTCGTCGATGCTGCATCGGGAAAACTTCCTCGGGAGGTAATACCTGTGGGGTGGGGGTCACTGTCACCCCCTGCCCTGCCTGGGGCACGGCCAGGCACCTGAACCGGGGCAGGACCCTCAGCGATGCCCCTGCCGAGAGCAGTGACACGGGGTGTGCAGGGGACGTGGCAGTGCCACCCCGAGCGGGCACCCACCCTGTGTCCTCCATGATACAGCCCAGCCACGAGTCCGGACACCGGCAGTCCCCTGGGGGGAGAGGAGAGGGGCTAGGGGATGCCGGCTGTCCCGTGCCAGCCTGGCGGCACCGCGGTGTGTCCCCATCGTCCCCATCCCCCCCGGCGGTGGCGGGTGGTACCTGCGGCCGTGCGGTGCTTGTTCCACATCATGCCCACGTTCTGCCCCAGGGTCTGTGCCAGTGTCACCGCCATGGCCGCCACGTTGCCGTACTACACAGGAGCCACGGGGTGTCACCGCGGGGACCCCCGTCCCTGTGCCCAGCCCGCCCTCGCGGGGGTCTCTCCGCACCCACCTCGTTGACGCCGCCGGCGCGGGCGGGGGAGCAAATGCCCCCCACGAAGGCGGTGCCGCTGCGGCTGCTCTGGAACGTCCGGCCCCTGCGAGGAAGAGGATGGTGGAGACGGGGGACACAACCCCGGGCCTGGGGGGGCACACGGGGCCGTGGTGCTTACGAGAAGAGGTGGACGGTGTCGCTGTGCTCTGCCAGCCCCTCCGGCCGGTACTTCACAAACTCGTTCAGGGTCTCCAGGGAGTCCTGTCCCATCCGGATCCGATCCTCCGCCGCCCACGTCTCCATGGCCACCAGCACGATGCGAGTGTTGAGCTGCTCCTTGTAGATCTGCGGGGACGAGGGGACGGTGCTGGGGATGAGACCCCTCCCAGGGACAAAGCCACCAGTTACTGGCAACAAACCCCTGGGGACAAATCCCCCAGGAGCTGGACACACACATCCGTCACCAGAGACAATTCCCCAGGGACAAACCAGCAATGGCACAAACCCAGCAAGTGCCAGAGAAACAAAATATAGTGGGACAAACACCCTGGGGATCAACTCCCAAGGGACCAACCCAGTCGGTGCTGAGGACCAACTCCCCAGGATAAACCTGCCAGGAATGAGGGACAAGCTCCCTGGGGACAAACCCATCAGCTGCTGGGGACAGTCCCCTCAAGGACAAACCCCCAGTGACAAACCCACCAGGGACTGGGGACAAACCCTTCTCCAGGGATAAGCCCACACTGGGGACAAATCCCCTGAGAACGAACCCCCCAGGAACAAACCAGAGATAAGCTCCCCAGCTACAACCCACCCCGAGAGACAAATTCCCCCGAGAGACAACCCCTCCCCCGGGATTCCCCCCTCACCATGTCAGCCAGGTTGACCACGGACTTGGCGAAGTTGCTGGTGAGAACCACGGACTTGCGGAGCTGCAGGAACTGGGGGGACACCAGGGACCAGGTAGGGTTGGGGGGGGCCACCCTGACCCCTCACCCCCCTGCCAGCCCCGGGGACCCCCACGCTCACCAGCTGGTGGTCGTTCACCACGGCCAGCTCGATGTACTTGGTCTCGCTGTGCACCGTGTGCTGGGCTCGGCGGACCTGCGGAGGGAGCCCGCGCTGAGCCGGCCCCCGGCAGGATCGGCCACCCGGACGGGGCTCCTGACCCAGCCAGGGATGTTTGGGATGCAGGGAGTGGGGAAAACCGCTGGGTGGCCTTGGGATGGAGCCCCTGCATTATTCCAGTGGGTCCCCTGGGCATCCCCAAGCCCAGGCAGGAGCAGCACGCGCAGCCAACAGCCAGAGATCAACCCAGGTCAAGCGCCCTTGTCCCCTGCCCCACATCGTCTGTCCCCTGCCCCACGTCCTGTGTCCCTGCCCCACGTCCTGTGTCCCTGCCCTGTGTCCCCCGCTGTCCCCGCTGACCTGCCGCCGCCGTCGCAGCTTTGGTATCCCACCCGTGTCTCGCTGGCTCAGCACAGGGAAAAGGCAGCCTGGAGGGAAGGGACAAAGCTGGTGGGACACCAGGACACAGTGCCACCAGTCCCTGGGGACGAGTGCCGGCTCTGCACAGAGGCTCACCCGGGCGGGGGCAGCTGGGGACGCGCTGGACGACGTGCGGTCGGAGGCCCTGCCGTGGGGAGAGGAGTGTCATGGCCACGTGTGGAGAGGGGACTGCCCCGACCCCGTGTACCCAGGGCTGTCCCCCAGCCTGGGGGAACTGAGGCAGCACATGGCAGGTCCCAGTGCTACCACTCACCTGCCCGTGCTCGGTGCCCGCCTGGGGCTCGATCAGGTAGGTGGCTCGGCCGTCCGAGAAGACCCCCCTGCAAGCAGAAACGGGGTTGTCGGGGTGCAGAGGGGTGTAGTCCCCCCAGCGCCCCTTTTGGCAGTGGCGGGGTACTCACCGCAGGCCCTGGCAGCTGGAGAGGGCGGCGAAGGAGCGGGGCTGCCCCCGGATCCGGCCCTGGTAGTAGCAGTGCTCCCCCGCGCCCTGCGGAGCAGGGACGGTGCTGAGCACAGGGGGCCCACCCCGCCCTGCACCCCCAGGGGCTGCACCCCAGGCTGGGGGCTCTGGGGCTCACTGCCCGGCACCCTCGGGGTACGCCCACAGCACGCGGGGATCCCCATCACCGCCCCTGTGTGAGGAGCATCCCCTATCGCCATGGCAACAGCCCATGCACGAGCTGGTACACCCGGGGCACCCGGGGGCACCCAGGGGGAAGATGTGTGCTGAGCTTCTGTCGGGGCCACTCCATGGCTTCTGCAGGATTTATAAACCTGCCACCATGACCCCAGCGCTGGCGTGGCATGGCTTGGCTTGGCAAGGTGTGGCACGCAGCTTACCGTGCTGTGGCTGCCGTTGCCGCCCGCGCCGAGGTGCCGCTCCACGTAGTGAGAGGCGAGGAGGTGGCTGCCGGGAGCAGGTAGGGGGTGAGAGGCCGTGGGGTGGGGAGGAAGAGGAGGAAGAGGGAGACGACAGCAGCCGTCCGTGCACACGACATCACCCCAGTGTGGGAGCCCTGCCGCTACCTCTATACGTGGAATCATCCCACGGTGGGACCCCTCTTCAGTTTGGGAGGGTGCTGGCACCCCATGGACCCCACGGGCTCAGCCCCCAGTACTGAAACTGGGACGGCTCTGCACAACTCCCCCATCCCCGAGCACCCCCAGCTCCTCCACCCCCTCCCTCCTGCTGGGGGGCGGCAGCAGCCCCACGGTGGGTGCCCTCCCCAGGACCCCCGCGGGGGTCACCCATCACTCACTGGTTCAGCCGGAGGTCGAGGGTGAAGGCGGAGCCGAAGGCGTGCACCACGAAGCTCACCTGCGCCAGATGCAGCCCCTGCAGGAGAGCCCGGGCCGTCAGCACCCCCCAAACTAATAACTAAAATAACAATTAAAACCTCAACTCAAACAGGCAGCCCGTGAAGCTGCACTTTTATTTTTAAACCCCAAAAATTCAGCATAAAGGAAATCACTGGGTTTTTTTATCCTCAATCCCATCACCACCCCCGTGGTACCGGGAGGGCTCCCGTGTCCCATCGCCCCCTCCCCAGGTGCCGGGGTGGTGTGGGGGGTCCCCCCGGCGCTGGGCCCAGCTCGGCCGCCGCAGCCGAGCCGGAGCTTCTCCCTCCCTGCGGCGCCCGGCGCTCCTGACCTAATTCCTGCCGCCGGCAGCGGGAGATGGAGCTGGAGCGGCAGCGGGAGCCGAGCGCTGCGGCGCGGCCTGAGACCCCGCAAACTCACCGCACGGGTGAGAGCCCAGCCCTGCCAGCGGGTCCCTCGGGAGCTCCGGCGCTTCACACGGAGAAGCCGGGAAAAGGCAAACCCTCCCTGGGGCGCCTTGTCCCCTCGCCAGGACCCGGCACAGCCCGGGATGGAGACGCAGGGGGGGAGAACCCGTTTGTCACCACGGGAGGGGATGTCCTGCGCCAAGGGCGCATCCCCGGGGTCAGGCAGCGCGGCTGGAGAGAGTCACCGGGGCTCTGCCGCCGGGACCCAGCCCCGAGTTCCCGGGACCTCCGTCGCTCCATCCCCCCGCGGCTCTTTGGTTTAACACCTCCCTGGCCTCCCGCCAGCGCGGCGGCTGCCGGCGCTTCCCGGCGTCCGGCGGTTTCACTCGATGCCGGGTGTAAATCACCTTTGCGGTGAGCGCAGCTCATCATCCCCCCTTTCCCCGGCGCGGGCGGGGATCGATGGGCGCCGGCCTGGGCGGCTGCCAGAGCCTCAACCCCCCCGGGCCGGATGGGAGCGTGTGCCGCTCCCTGAAACGCTGGGAGCACCAGCCAGCGGGATAAAGAACGCACCGAGTCCGGGGGGGGTTGGGGAGCAGCACAGGGTGGGACACGGGGGGCTGCTCCCACAGGGCCTGGATCCCTCCTCAGCAGAGCCACGAACTCATTCCTTATGCTGTGGGAGCCCTGCCCGCCACCTGCTCGCTCCCGTTCCATCTCTCCCAATGCCCGGGCGCTGCCAATACCCGGATTTAATGGGATTTCGAGGCACAGCTCGGTGTCCCTTCGGGGCGGATGGCAGTGGGATGGTCCCTGCGGGGACGAGGGCTCTGTTTTGGGATGCTGGTGCCCACACGTGCACTGGGAGGTAGCTGGACCAGCAGCAGCGGCTGCCTGGGGACCTGCCACCCGCCTGGGACCCCGGACAGGGAGCGGGTGGGGGGCTCCGGTTCACTTACGGGTCCTCCTCCTCTTCCTCTTCGTCCAGACTCATTCCTGACCCTGGTGTCCAGCTGATGCTTTGAGACTTCTCCTCCTCCCGAGCTCTGCCCCACCAACCTGCTGGGGTGGGTGATCTGGGAGACCACCCGCCCGTCCTGCCATCCGGCCCGCGGGACCCTCCGCGGCACCGCCCCGGCCTGCGCGGCGGGACCTGTGGGACAGGGACAGGGGTGACCCGGGGGGTGGGACACGGGGGCTGGGACACGCGGGGATAGGGTTGAAGAGGGATGGGGACAAGGAGGGACAGGGACACGGGAAGATGAGGACATGGGGAGATGGGGATGAGGAGGGGTAGTTACACGAGGGAATGGGACACATGGAGACGGAGTTGGGAAACATGCTCTGGGGGTGCCCCGAGTGTGGCACTGTATCCCGAAGGGGACACCCGTGGAATGTGGAGGGTGGCTGGACAGCTGGGGACACGGGGGGACATTCAGGTACGGTGGTGTGTCCAGGAGGGGACACTGAGGAAGCATAGGCTGGGGAGTGCCCATGGGATGGAGGGGACCGATATAGGAGCATGTCTGGGAGGGGAAGCTCAGGGGGCCTCAGATGCAGTGGCACATCCTAAAGGGGACACCCAGGGGACATGGGGGATACTCAGAAATGCCATCACACCTGGAGGAAGGGTTAGAGGGGGTATCAGCATATCATAGAGGGAACATCCAGGGAAAAGGGAGACTGGAATGGGGACACATCTGAGAGGGGACACCCAGGGGACAGTGAGGGCCAGGCTGGGGACGCCACCCAGTGGGAGATGGAAGACCGGTATGGGGACACCCCCCCAGGGGGGACATCGAGGGGACAGCAGGACTGGTGCAGGGACACCTTCGGAGGCGACACCCAGGGGACACGGGGGTGGCCGCTATAGGGACATATCCCAAGGGGATGTGGAGAGCTGCTATGAGGACACCTATGGGGACACGCAGGGGACGGGGGAACCGAGATGGGGACACATCCTGGAGGGGACATGAAGGGCTGCTATGGGGCCACCTCCGGAGAGGGGACACGGGGGGGCCGCTGCGAACACAGCGAGGTGGGGGGCGCGGGGCAAGAGCGGCTGCGGGGCCGGGGGAGACCGCGGGGCTGGGGCAGGTGCGGGGCGGGGGGCTGGTGCGGGGCCGGGAGCGGGGGGAAGGTGCGGGGCCGGGGCCGGTGCGGGGGGGTCGCGGGCCCGGCCCCTCCCGGGGCTCTGCGGGGCGGCGCTGCGGAAAAATGTGTCGATGCAGCGAAAAAGCCGCAGCGGCGGCGGCGGGGCCGGGAGCGGGAGCGGAGCGGGGCGATGCGGGGCCGGTACCGGGGGCGATGCGGGTGCAGGAGCGGGAGCGGGAGCGGGTCCGGACCTACCTGCCCGCGGGGCGAGCGAGAGCAGCGCGGCCAGCAGCCAGCCCCGCAGCGGGCTCATGGCTCCCTCATGCTCCGCCAGCGGCCGCGCCGGGCCCGCCGCGCCGGGGACCGTCACCGTCCCGTCCGGCCCCCCCGCCCCGGGCCGGGCCGGCAGCGCCGCCCCCGCCCCCGCCCCGCCCGCGGCCCCGGGCCCGCCGGACCGGACCGGCACCGGCACCGGCAGCGCCGGCAGCGGCACCGGCAGCGCCGCCCCGGGCCCGCCCCGCCCCACCCGGCCCCGCCGCCCCCGGTACCGGCCCCTTCCCCCCTTCCCCGCCCCGGCTGCCGCAGCGCCGCTGGCACCCGCGGCACTGCAGCACCGGAGTCCCGGTCGGCATCATCCCCCGATCGGCATCACCCCCCGATCGGCATCACCCCCCGTCCCGGGCCGGCATCACCCCCCGATCGGTATCACCCCCCGGTCCGGGACCGGAGCCCCCTGCCAGTCCGGGGTACCTCCCACTCCGGCTGGAACTGGGCTTGACCAGCCAGTGCCAGATCCCCCCAGGCAGCATTGGACCGTGTCCTCCCCCAGCCCAGACAGTACAGGAGCACCAGGACTTGACCCCCCCAGTCAATACTGGAGCCTCCGAGGTCTGGACCCCCCAGGCCAAAAGCAGACCCTCTCCAGGCACTACTGCCCCCCACCCCCCCAGACGGTGCAGGACTCCCTCCACACACAGCAGTACCAGCCCCTCCAGCTGGTACCAAACCCTTCCACATCATTACCAGGCTTCCCAGCTGGAATTGGAGCCCCCCAGGCTGTACAGAGCCCCCCTCAGCCGGTACCGAGTCCTTGAGTGGTCCTCGCCCCGAGTTGGTCCCCAGCCAGCCCCGGAACCCCTCCAGACTGTACTGGAGCTGCAGCCAGGCTCCCAACCAGTATCAGGGCCCCTGACCATTATCAGAGCCCCCCAACCAGTACCACCCCCCAGCTGGGACTGAGCCCCTCACTGGTCCCGGGTCTGGTGCAGATTTTGGCTGTGGGAGCCCAGCTCTGGAGCCAAGGGGGGTCCCAGGGGAGGGTGCTGAGACCAGGGGTGCTGGTGCCCACGGCAGTGGGGGCACAGGGCAGTTCTGGCCCATCCCCAGTGCGTGGGCAATATCACCTCAGGAAGCACCCGAGCCAAGACCCCCCCACGAGTTGCTCTGATTTTAGGGGATGCTGCAAGGTTGTATACCCCCTGGGGATAATGGAACAATTTTTGGAGAGAGAAGCCCCAAATAACTCCTGTTTATTGCAGCTGTGGGGGGGTACAGCACCGTGGAAGGTGAAACCCAGCCCGTGGGGGGAGGCAGCACAGCCCCAGGTATCCACAGGAGGTATCCTGTGGGGGAACAGGGGCTCTGAGCCCCAGGTGGTGGATGTTGCTAAAAAGACCAGGCTGGTGGTTTCACCTCACATCCCTCACCCTTCTCTAGGATGACTCACCCCCATTTAGACCTTTTGGACCCATTTTGTGTTACCACTCCAGCAAGTCCCTCCTGTGCCCCCTGGCATCAGGCTCCAGCCCCCTCCCGGTGCAGTCAGCACTCAGGGGGGCTCCTTGCATCCCCCAGGGGCACCCTCACACCCCCCCTCCTCCCAGCCCCTCCCACGGTGAATCCCGGTGTCCCAGCCCCCAGCCCAGGCTCCAGGGAGCTGTGCCAGTCTCTGTCCCCTCTCCCTCTTTTCCAAGCCCCTGCCTCCAGCCCCCCTGTGCCCGCACCCTTCTCACCCCAGGGCTCCCATGTCCACCTTTGGGTGTCCAGGGGCAGCTCTGCAGCCCAAACCCAAACCATGGGAGCAGCTGCTTTGTCTGGCCAGGACGTTCCTGGGGTGTTTTCTGCGGTGAGTTACAAAGGGAGGGTGACACAGGTCCCTCCTGCCCACACCAGAGCCCACCTGGACACTCTCTATACCAGCCCTGTCCTGCTTTTTGTCACTTTTGGGCAGAAGTAGGGGGGGGCAGAAGGAGGTAGGGGTGTGAGGGAAGGCAGGATGGGGTAGGGAGGGGGACAAGTCCTGGCCCCGTCCTGTCCCTCCTGAGCTCTGCAGCTCAGCCCGTTCCCATCAGCAAGGGCAGAGCTTCAACAAGCAAACCCCACAGCAGCCCAGGCTGGAGGGGGCAGGTTCAGCTCAGCCTGGTTTGAGCAGAGAGGAGCTCTAAGGGTCATGGTCAGACTGGGGGGGCTCAAAGCCCCCCCAGCATCCCCAGTCTGTGGCTGGCACACCCCCCCAGCACCAGTGACCCCCAGTGCCTGAGCAGCACCTCGGGGGCAGATGAGACTGGATCAGCCCCACCCCTCCCCCCTTGACAGCACTGGGCAGGCAGAGCTTCCAAGCTGAGACCTGCCCTTGGACCTTCCTCTTCCTCTGCCCGATGGGAGAAGGAACCTGCAGTGGAGCTGATCCAGCACCTGCTCAGCACCTCAGGAGGTCTGTGACGGTGCCAGCCCAAGGGGGCACAACCTTTCCTGGTGCCCTCCTCAGCACCACAGGGACAAAGGGGTGCTTGGCCAGAGGGGGTCTACACCAGGTGACAATGAGCAACCTGGGCTAGTGGAAGGTTGTGGCAGGGGGTTGAAGCTGGATGGACTTTAAGGTTCCTTCCAACCCAAACCATTCCAGGATTTGGTATCTCCAGCCAGCACATCTGACCCAAGGCCTCCAGGGTCCCCAAGCCCAGGGACCCCCACATAAGTCACTGGTCAGGTGAGGAGGGGGCAAGCAGCAATCAGGGCTCCCTCTCCCCTCTGTGGGAGGGCCAGGCTCGGTGAAGGACAATCAGTCACCCCCCTGCTGATCTCCCAGGGCAGCTCATGGCCTCCTCCATCAAGGAACACTGCCATGAATTATCTGTGTCCACAGGGGACAACCTGGAGCTCTGAGCCCCACAGGGCCTGGAGGGGCCATTCCCAGTCACCCAGGACACCCTCTTGGCTGCCAGAGGGGCACAGAGTGGTCACTCCCTAAGGAGGCTGAGCACACCAGGGTGGTGGCTGGTTGGTGCTCCAAGCCCCTCTTGACCTCTCTCCCAGGAATTACCTTCCTGCTGGACAGTCAGTGGCACAGGGACATCTCCACAGCAGAGGCCTGTGCTGGGCAGGGTTCAGCTCCCACAGCAGCTTTGATCAGCCCTTTGTTACCTGTGCAGGGGCTCCAGCAGGTAAAGAACTGGAGTTTGGCTGTTGTACTGAAGGATTTCTCTCAGGAGGAACCTCTGAAGCCTCCTATCTCCCAAATCTGCTCCCAGCAGGGCTACCTGATCCTGCTGCTCAGGACTTCCTTTGAGCCTTGAGTGAAGGAGGGATGGTTGTCCTTCACTCAAGGACTGATTATCTCCAAGGATAGACAGACCTCAGCTCCTCTGGGTGCCTGGCCTGGGGCTGTCCCACCCTGCTGGGCACTGAACAGCTCCTTTTCCCAATCTGCACATGGAAGCCCCACCTTGGGACACACCTGGCACCACAGGAGGGTTGGCTCCCTCCAGTTTGGAACTGCCCTTCAAGAAGGGCTGTCTAAAAGGCTGCTTTTAGATGCCCCAGAACCTCCTCCCCTTGGGCCCATGCCCAGGAGAGGTCAACAGGCTCCTTCCAACTGCTCTCCAGTTACTCCACATCCTTCCTTACTGGGGGCCACTCCTGCACTGGCTACAACAGCTTTCCAGAGCTTGCTGACCACATTCCTCTGGCAAACCACACATGGGGTGATGTTCTGTGGCTGGAAACACCACTGCCCAGCACCCACAGACCCCCTCCAGCAAGGCCTCTCTCCACCCCACCTCTGCTGCTGGAAGTTTCACAGAATTTGGCTGTGCTTTGGCCACCAGACACATTCCAGTGTACAGCAGAGCAGGATCTCACCTTCCACTTTATTACAAAGTTTAAAAGTTTGCTAAAAAACACCAAACAAAACATGTTAAAACCACGTGAAAAACATCTGTAAATTCTCAAAGACAACCCCCGCAAACCATGTGAGGAGCAAAAATCTCACCCCCATGACCCTCCCCTCCCAAGTCTTGGCACCTGCTTTCACTCTGGAAGGGCAAAGAACATATTCCTGCTGAAGAGAGACTTCCAGAGGGACCACTGTGTCAGCAGCTCCATGAGGAGCTAGAGGAAGCTGCTGGCTCTAAACATGGCTAGCAGAGAGGAGGGAAGATCCCAGCCCAGAACACAGCCAGGGACAGTGAAGACACTGCATCCCCACCAATTCCCAACAGGAGAAGGAAGTGTCCAAGCTGCTGGTGGTGCCAACTTCATGCTGATGGTCCTCACTCCAGCTCTTGGATGTGCTTCCTGGTCCTGACATGGAGGCTGGCTTGGCCAAATCCCTTTCCAGCCCCTTCTCATCTCTCACTTTGGTCCAGAGAGCAGCCAGGAGGTGGTTTTAGCTCGTCCAGCTGCCACAAAAGGTCTCAAATACAGGGAAAGGGGCTCCTCTGGTGTCCGTGCAGCAGGTCCGGCAGTTCCCGCTCTCCTGGCCCGCCCAGCCCGGCTCCAGGTCCCGCTGGAGCACCGAGCACAGCTGGGACTCATACCCGCTGTCCCTGCCCCTGCCGTGTGTCCTCTGGAGCACGTCCCTGTCCACAGCTGGGATCCTGCTGCCCTGGACACCCGTTGGCAGGGGGAGCAGCTGCACATCCCACTCCGACTCGGAGGAGCTCCTGCCGGTGCCAGAAGCAGCTCGTGTGCTCTGTGTGCTCTGGGCAGGAGGGGGAAGGAGCCCAGGGCACGGTGCCCGCTCTGTGCTGTGCCCGGGGAGCTCAGGAGCTTCGGGGGCTGCTTTTTCTGCCGCCCTGACACAGACTGAGCAGAAACATCTGGCCCCAGCCCCGGGCGGTGTGGGAGAGGGCGGGCGGCCAGCGGGGCAGCTGCTCCCGCTGCTCACTGTGCTCTCCAGATCCAGGCTGCTCCCATTCCCGGGGGTGGCACCGTCCCCTTGGAGCTGCTGCCCTTGGGATCTCACACTCGCCCTGCTCCAGCCACGCTCGCTGACGGTGCTGGCTGGAGCAGCTCCTGCAGGATCCACAGCTCCCAGGGATCCTGGGTCCCCAGGGCTCCCGCCCAGGCACGGATCCAAAGCCAGGGAGCCACGAGGTCTGCTGCAGAGCTGTGTGTGCAGGGACAGCCTGCCAGCCTCTGTCACACCGGGCAGGCCTGGCTCAGACATCTGCCCTGCACCCTGTGCCCCCAGCCCACCATGCACCGGGTCCTCCTGCTCCCCCTGCTCCAGCCTGGGCCTCTTCCCCACCTGGTAGTTCTGGCTAGGGGAGAGCAGGCGCTTCCTGGGGACAGGCAGTGCCTCTGGGGGGTGGCTCACAGACCCAGGCAATTGCTGGCCACGAGGTTCAGATGCAGGAGCAACTGCCTGTGTGACAGGAGCAGCCCCTGCACAGGATCCCCAGCCCGGGGCAGGGGCTGAGCCCAGCCGTGCACCCCCCAGCCCGGCCCCCTCCGTGGTGCCAGGGGCAGCACAGACCCCTCCCCTGAGCTCTGCTCCCCTGGGCAGTCCCACAGAGCTGTGTTCTGACATCCCCCCTCCTCTGGGATCTCTGACCCTGTCCCCAGGCAGGCAGGGGGAACATCCCTTGATCTTCAGGTTGTGATCCTGCTCCATATCCATTACCAGTTCCACAGCACCCTGCTCAGGCTGCTCCCTTTCCTTTCCCAGCTTTGTCAGCATCTCCACTCCTCCAGTACCATGTGCTTGAGGCACTAAATGTTCATCTGCCAGGCAGGACTGTGGCACCCTGAGAAGAACCATCAGTTAATGCTCATCCAGGCCCAGCAACACCCTCCCCCAGCGAGACGAGGCCTCTCCTGCAGCACAGGGTGTTTGCAGCCCTTACTCAGGAGCAGGGGAGGAATTTCAGCCTGGTGAGGCTCAGCAGTAACACTGCTGCTGGCAGGAGAGATGGGCAGCACGAGGGATCTCAGCCTCCCCACAGCCCAGGGCTTGGGCACAGGGCTGCTACAGAGCCGTGGGGTTTGTGTCAGATATGGGGACAGAAGGGGTGGGCTCAGCTGCCCTTTTGTAGTTTAGGAGGCACTAGAAGTCCATGGGGAGTTCCCTGAAGGAGAAAACCCATGGAAATGCAAGAACAGCTCCCATGGCTTGTCTAAGCTTCACCTGGCAGGTCCAGGTTGGTCCTGCTGCAGCCTCTGCTCCGGCTGCCCAATTCCCTGGCACAGGGACCCCATTCCCATGAGTGTGCCATGCAGCATCCTGCTGTTCTGGGCTCCAGGAGTTACCAGACCCCCAGACTTACCGGTCTGAGCACTGCAGGAAGCTGTTGGTGATCTGTGAGATGACACGATCCACGGGGATGTACTGGGAGTCATCCCGGGCAAAGCGCTGGTGCCGGGGGCTCTCGAGGTGCTGGAGGGGGGCAGAGGCCCTTTAGCAACATTTAAAGCTTTCCCAGGAGGGGAACTTGCAGTAACAGGCACTTCCCACAGCCTGACAGACTAGAGGGCAAAGTAGAGCCATTGTTTGGGAGCAGGTTTGGACCCCTTGGCCACACTGTCCCCCCTGGCTGTGCAGGGGTCCCATTCCCAGACACCCCTGGATGAGGAGGCTGTGTCCACACCCAACAGCAGCCACAGCCTCCCCAGCAGCAGGGAAGACACAGACTCCAACAAGACTGTCTGTCAATGAAGGCTGGGCTCTGAAAGCCACGTTATTTGGCACCTTCCAGGAGATAAAAAACCCTTTTCCCAACTTTTAAATCTGCCTGTGCCCCATGACTGCCATGGAACAGGCTCCTCACCTTATGGATCAGGGAACAGGATGATTCTTGAGGCTCTCCCAGCCCAAGAGATGAGCATGTCATGCTCCAATCTTCAAAAACAGTGTGCCCAGACCAGGTCAGAGCAGAGATATACCATGTTCCCATCTACAAGGCAGATCCTACTGGATACCACAAGGGATACAACCTGGATACAACGGTTCCTTCTGAAGGAGTTCATGGTGCTAACGGGCATAACATGATTGACAAAAGCCACTGAGTGACCCCCATAACTTTGGCAAGGAACTGGATGCCAGGGGAACCTTTACCTTGTGCAGCTCTTCGAAGGTCTCCTGGCAGCACTCACAGAATCCCCTCCGTTTCCTGGGCACTGGGGTGGAGCGGGGGCTCTTCCCTCCGTCACTGCGCAGGGCACAGCCTCCTGCCCCCCTGGGAGGGACAGCAAAGGTCACCCTGCCCTGGCAGCACCAGCAGGGACTGTGCTGCCTCTGAACCCAGCACAGGGCTCCCTGTGCCCACACATCCAGAAGGCAGCAGGTTCCCAGATCCCAGGAATCATCAGTGAGAAGGAGAGTTGGGTTAAAAACTTGCGCAGAAGGAGCGACATCTTACCTGGCTTGGCAGGAATTCGAGAGGCTTTTCAGAGGCTCGAATGGGCTGGAGCTTTTGGGAGCCAGGAAGTTCAGGTCGGGAAAGCTTTGGAACTGGTGATGGAAGGGCCGGAATTGCCTGAAAGCAGCAGATCAGGACATCAGTCTCCTGGCAGGGACAGCCTGGTCACAGAGCTGTCCCCCCCACAGAGGGGCTCAAGGTGCTGTCCCATTTATGAAGAGACACTGCCCATTGCTCTCCTCTGGCTGTGCCAGAACTGCCCTTTCTTAAACGAGATTTCCAGTAATGGCCCTGATGGGGCATGTTCTGGACAGGAGGCAGGTTTGCCTGCCCAGCCAAACCCCACCTTTTGCCCCGGGGCACAGCAGGGCAGCATCTCCAGCTACAGCAGCACGGGATGGTTTTGGTTCCCAGACCACATCTCTCCCCTCACACTTCAGTGCATGCAGCACATAAAACTGAACATTTGACTCTGAGCTACCCCAAGTGTTGCCTTCAGGATAATTAATTGGCCCAGTCGATACTGTTAGAGTTACAGGCTTGTCAGAAACACCACAGGATTAGGTCCCCTGTGCTGAGGGCTGTAATCAAGTTACAGGCCCTGACCTCCTGTGCTTCAATCTCCTTCCTCAATGCACAGGGCTCGAGTGGATTAAGTGACCTGACAAGGATCACACATGGAACCCGAGCAAGGAAGGAAACTGTTGTCAAGTCTCGTTTAACACCTTTTTTCCCCCTGACACACGAGCCACCTGGATTGTTTCTCCAAACTCCACCTGCCTCCCTCTAGGAGAGGGTCAGCTTCCCAGTGTGGAACAGGGTCTGCCCTGTGGGCAGAACAGTCACTGGGAATGAAACCAGTGAAGGATTCCCTCCCTGGGAGCCCCCCAGGTTTTAAGGTATGTTATTTAGAAAGGTCACATTTACCTGCTCTGGTCTTCAACCTTCAGAAAAGGGGGCTTCAGCCTTCCTCCTAGAGAGAAATGTGGTTAGAAGTTTTCCTGGCCCAATTCCCAACTTAGTCACTCATTTCCCAACAGAACTGGGCTACAGAGCTGAGCTCATCAGAACTTCTGACACTGGTGAATGCCAAGTGATGGCTGAGCACAGCCAAACCAGCTCCTTGGGTGATTCTTCAACAGCCCTCAGAGTGTGCAGTGGGGGGACCAAACCCCAAAGCAGCCCAACAATGGGACATGTCAAGCTTTGGAAAAGCAACCAGCCAACCTTCACACCCTTAAAGCCTCCCCAGCCTTACACTGGCCCAACCCTGAGCCTTCTGACTCGAGCCCTAAGAACTGTCACATCCTCTCCTTGATGTGGCCATGGCACACGAGGGAGGAGGTCACCAGCAACAAACTGCAGCAGCAGCAGCACAGGCTCAGAGCTCTGCACCAACCTTCCCTCACCTTTTCCTCCACCCACCCTGACACAAGAGCCTGGAGCTCAAACCAGCTCAGGCCAGGATGGTGAAATCAAAGCAGTAAGAGCTGCTGGAGACAAACCAAGGTGCTGCACAGCCAAGCCTGGCACCAGAACACTACTCGAGAGCAGAATCTGGCCTTCACTCGTCCCTGAGGAGGGCAAACAGCAGCTTTGCTTCCTACAGAGGCATAAAATACATGAAGGGAGCAGAAGAGCCTCAGCAGTGCATTGAGGGAAAAGGTTTTCAGAGCCAGGCTGGGAGGAGAAGATCCCAGGTCCCTCCTGTCCCACAGGTATGTTCCTCTCATAAGTGATAACATTACTCACCTTGGAAACCTGAGAACTGATCTGGCTAAGAAACAAATAAGCCCCAAGGTGTTCCCACAGGGAGTCTGCCTGACCCTGAAACCAAGCCTCTCCTGCCTCCCTCGCTGCCTCTGAAGGGCGAGGAGGTTTGTTTTCTCATGATCCTGGCACTCACAGCTATTTTTTCCAGAGATATTTCACCCTCCTTCCCCAGAAAGGCTGAGCCCACCTGTCCTCACCAGCAGCTCCTCAAGCCTCACCCTCCACTTGCATTAAATGTGCTGCTACGTCACCCCAGCAGCTATTTCAGTGCTGGATCGAGTTTTTCCTGCGTAAATGCTGCCAAATGCTCAGCACTTCTGAGGGAGAGGCCGTGTTGAGGCCCCAGCTCCAGCTCAGGCGGGTGCACAGGCCCGAGCAAACAGCCCTGCTGTCACTGTGAGTCCCCAGGCCAGGCTCAGAGCGTGCCACAGCACAGAGCCTGCAGCACAATCTGCCTTATCCAACAGCTTCTCCAGCCTTTTTTCAGCACCTTCTCCCCACCCCAAACTGGGAGATAACCTCCCAAGTGTCACACACACAGTCCAGGTCGGAGGCTGCTCCGAGGCGTTCCCGCGCATTCGCTCTCCAGCGCGGAGTCACACACGGCCCAGATGAACTGACATCAGCAGTGCCAATCTCAGCCCCACAACTGGCTCTGGTCTAATTGCAGATGAGGACCTGGTTGTTCCCCCCTCCCTCCTCCCTTTGGAAGCGTTCTCCCAGGATCGGTGTCTCAGCAGCACATCTCAGCCCGACAGCAGTGAGTGGGCTGGAGGAACACGCTCTCCTCTGTAGGATGCATTATATTCCTCGAAACCTCCTCTGAGCTGCTGGATTCAGTGTGCAATAACACGGTTCTCAGGTGCCTCAGGATTCTGGGAGCTGGCAGAAAAGGGTTTACGGGATTTTTAAGAACACTGCCCCGAAATCAAAGGTCCTCAGCTGTGGCTGCAGCCACTCCCACTCTGACAAGGAGTAACAGAACCCCTTCAAGGCAAACTGCCATAAGAGTTGGCATATTTTGGGATTGCTGAAGCTCCAGATGGATTTCAAATTCTAAATGAGGCTTCTGCAAGCAGTTCCACATCTGAGCACAAACAGGAGCACAACTTCCAGGCCTACCTTTGTGAATTTTTGATCCAGAGGCAAAGCATTTCCCCTGGAGGAGAAAGGGACACATTTAGCATGGGAACAGCACAGGCAGAGCTGCAGTTCCTCATCCCAGAGCAGCAGCAGCCTCACCCACCACCCTAGAGTTCCTGCATCACCACCCAGAACATCTCCCCTCATTTTGTCTCCCAAGTTACCCAGACTTAATTTAAACAGAACACACAGGCCTTGCATCCCACCCTCCCCCTGACCTCCCCAAGGCATTAAAAACCCTTCAGGAAGCCAGTTTACCAGCCACATCACCTTATTTTGCTTTGCTTGTGTGTGTGGCTGTTGCTTTCCCTATTAAATCATCTCTATCTCAATCCATGAGTTCTCTCAGTTTTTCCTCTCCCAGTTCTCTTCCAATCCCACCTGGGGGGATGAGAGTGACTCTGTGGGGTCGAGTTGCCATCTGAGGTTGGAAGATGACAAACCCTTTGTCCCTTGTGAGCCAAAATCAGGATTAGCTGTGCTACAGATGTTGATAGTTATCAAACAGCTGCCTCATTCTCATCTGACTTTACCCTCAACTTTATAAAAGGAAAAATTCTTTGAATTTTGTCATCTCCCTCACCAAACAGAAGCACCAGACTGCCCAGTGCTGGATGGGATCCAGCACTCGGATCACCCTCCTGACTGGCCCATTGGCTCTGGAGGAGCTACAAGGATTGTTCAGAGCTACCCAGGGGCTGTGAGCTCACGAAATTGGCCGGAGTTGAGTTGTTACCTCCGTCTTCTGGCAGCGTTTCCTCACTCCTGAGATGGCTCCCAGCAGCTGATGGGCATAGGACAACATTTCTGTGCAGGTGGGATGTCAAGGAGCCAGAGCTCAGCAAGGGCAGGGAGCTGTTCCCCTCTCACTCAGCACAGTCGCCCACGGCACCGGGAATGCTGAAGCCCTGGCAGAGAATCCATCCCCACCCAGGCAACTGGCCCAAGATGAAGCCAAGAGACACTCTGAGGGACAGCCCCCCCTTTGCTCTCTGGCAGAGCTGGAGGCTGTGGGGCTCTGCAGAGAGCAGACAGTGGCAGGGGTTTGCAGCACGGAGAGCAGCCCTGGGTCTGCCAGCCCTGCCAGGCTCCGTGGCTCAGCAGAGCTCAGGGACAGGGCAGCAGCGCCCGCACCACGCTCCAGACAGGCTGTATGTCACTGTCACCAGACACTCAGGAACCTTTTACTCCAGACCTATTATTAGAACCAGAGTCCCACCATCTGTCTTTCCCATCACCCCCTCCCCATCCATCACGGGGACAGGGAGAGCCTTCCAGCACAGGCCCTCAAACACCAGCACTGCCTAATTAAAACCGACCAAACCCTGCCCTTATCGTGATCTGTGCTTCCAGGTTAATTAGTAAAAATGGTCTTTTTGGAGCAAATTGATGCACTGACCAAGCTATCAACATTTTCTAACGTTACAGGTTCAGTACATGGGGATGTACCCCATGTTTGCTGCTGACAGGGGGATGTTCTGTACACAGAATTAACTGCTGTTGGGGGGCAGACCCAGCCTCAGCCAGCACAGCATCAGCCCAGTATATTTGCTTGCAGCCTCTCCCTTCTGTTCCACACTCCTGACATCACTCCTGCTCCACCTGCCTCACAGATCCCTGATTTCCAAGAGCCTCGTTCCATCCCCAGTTAAGGATACCATCCACGTGCAGGATCTGGACTCCCCACAGGCGGGCGTTGGCGAGGATGCTGCTGCCACTGCAGGTGTCCTGCACAGAGAGGGTTGGCAAAGCACAGCTCAGAGCAGGAACATGTGCAGCTCTAAATTGAGCTTAGACTTAGGGGTTTTTTTCCTGCTGCCCAACTGACAGACCACTGCGTAGCTGTTATTAAAATCAGGGCACAGCAGAAAAGGTTTGAACTCATGCTTTATCAATCCCAAATTAACAGCAGCACCTGGGGCAAACTTTTAATCCCTGTTACAGCATGAGCTTCTAAGTGGGCACTGAGATTGGTTTGGAGTGACATCAGGGAAAGGACTGCAGGGAACCTTTTGTCCCAGCTACGTGGCTTTAGCTCTTTTTAGGCTAAAAATTAATCTAACAATAATTCTCTTGTCCTGAGCACCCAGATTGCTGGGACAGGCCTCAGAGGTTGGATGTTGCCCATCTAGGACGGATGGCACAGCTCCACGAGGAGCAGTGACAGGAGGATTACACAACATTCTGCAAGCCACGAGCAACCGCTCCGTGCCTTTCCTGGCCCCAGGATGTGCCCTGTCAGCAGGGCAGGGGCTCTGCAGGAGGGCTGGCACTGGTTCTGCACCGCTCAACAGAGCTCTGAGCACACCCCACCTGAGGGGAGCCCGGCCACGTGCTACTCACCTGGTTCTTCATGGCCTTCTGCAGCAGCTCCTTCCCCCGGCTCAGCAGGGCCTGGAGAGAGGAGACACAGCCCAGGTTATGGCAGTGGGAATGATTCCTGGGGACACCCCCACACTGCTGGGGAGCAGGGCCTGCCCAAGGCTCCTCTCACAGCCGGTGGGAATGAGCACTTCCAGGGAGCAAACCCGCAGAGCCCCACTGGCTCTGCACTCACAGCACCAGCCAAGGCCTGGAATTATCGACCAGCAGTGAAGGCTCCAGAGTGAGCCAAGAGGAAGCAGTGATTTAGCTTGGAAACTGCTGCTGCATCATGGAATTGTTCAGGCTGGAAAAGCCCTCTAAGGTCATCCAGTCCAACCATTCCCGCAGCACTGCCAAGGCCACCACTAACCCATGTCCCCAAGTGCCACATCCACACAGCTTTTAAATCCCTCCAGGGATGGGGACTCCACCACTGCCCTGGGCAGCCCGTTGCAAGACCTGAAAACCCTTTCAGTGGAGAAATTTTCCCAAATATCCAGCCTGAACCTCTCCTGGCACAACTTGGGGCCATTCAGTCTTGTCCTGTCACTTATTACCTGGGAGAAGGAACTGACCCCCACCTGGCTCCACCCTCTGTCAGGGAGTTGAACAAATAAGATGCCCCCTGAGCCTCCTTTTCTCCAGGTATCCCAGCATGCTGGCCAGGGTTAGGAACATTCTCGCTTCCCTTCCTGGGAACAGAGTCTCACTGGCAAGCCAGTGGGCTCAGACCAGTTCAGCTCCTGGTAAGACAAGGGGACAGTGCTGTGAGCAAGGGCAGGGACTGGGTGCAGCCCCTGAGGCTCAGGTTTCCCACTGCAGGGGTCCAGCTCCAGGCTGGCAGAGATGCCCCAACCCTGGAGTGGGGCAGCAGCCTCTCCCCAGTCACAGCTTCCAGCAGACTCCACTTTCCAAGAGGGATGTTGGCGTTTGGCCTCAAGCACTGCCGAGCAGAAAGCCCAGCTCTGACAGGGTAAACAAGACCCAGAAAATCCCCTTGCTGGAGGAGATCCCTTGTGTATCTCCTCCCAGGTTACAGAGGCCTTGCCCTGTGTCTGTGAATACACATCCACAGCCTGCAATGGTTTTATCTGGTCAACACTTCTCTGGCTTTTCCAGCCACACCTCTGCCCTTCCCTGGGGAAGCCAGCCAAGCCCTCCATTTCCTCTGCCATTCCAGCAGATTTCCTTGATCCCAGCCCAAAGCTGTGACATGCACATTTGAGAGGAGAATGATGGCAGATAAAAGGAATATGGGTACAAATAGAACAGCCAGAGGGGGGCAAAAGACCCCAGAGCAGGACTGACTTCACCTCCCAACACTGGTTGTGTTGGGACCCCTTGGCACGAACTTGGAGGTGGCTAAAGCCCTTACAGCTCTTACAGTGTCTGGTGGCTTCTGGTGAGGTCTGGGTGGGTTCCCTCTGGAGGCAGGAGGCCCTGAGCTCGTGGCTTTGGTGTCTCTTGAAGTTGGGTTGCTCTGCTTCCCATCCCCAGCCCTGGCTCTGTCCCGTTTGGCCTCTTTGTTGCTGGACACCACGTACGTGACTTCTTTGCTGAGGAAGCTCTCGGTCACCTGCAGACACAGAACAGAGAAGCTCTGAAAGTGTCCAACTGTGAGCTGAAAGGGCCCTGCTAAACAAAGCCACTGCCTCTGGTTTAACCCCCCACACACTGAGGGGCTGCTGGAAGCACTCATGCCTACAAGCATTCCTTCCTCCATTCCACACTGCTGTCTCCCAGGAGGAGCAGACACTGTCACGCTCAGGGAGCGCAGGCCCCGGACATGCACAGCAGAGTCACCAGAACCTTCAGATCCAGACACCCATGACTGTCCACCATCACCTACTCCTCAAGCAGTGGTTTCAGAAAAAGGCAATAGCTGAGAAAAAGGCCCTGGACATCGTGGGTCAGGGTGGAGGAGCTCTGTCCTCAGGAGAACAGGACGTGTTTTAGCAAAATAAAGGAGAAAGTGAACAGTTGGGACGAGCAGCTCCACACAGAACAGAGCAGGAGGGAACCAGAACACACACACACACACAGGAGCTACCACTCCAAGGAAGAGCTGGAAACCCAGAAGTTGGGACACTAATGGTATTATAAGGCCATAATGACTTGGGTTCTCAGAAGCTTAGCAGAAGGCAGACACTAACACATGGGTATGAGGCCTCCAGGAAGACAAAGATCTGGGCAGTCCAAAACTTCAGCTCCTGAACAAGCTGGTTCTGCTCCTTTACAGAATCCCCATAGATCAAGATCCCAGGCTCACCCATGGGAAGTGCCAAAGGGACAGTGGAGGCTGCCCTGCAACAGTGACCTGTGTTACAGGAGCTCAGTGAGGCTGGAAGCACAGAACAGAGGAAATCCCAACATCCTCGTCCAAATACCACTCCAGGGTGTCACCAGCCCCATGCCAAGGTGAAGCTCAAGGAGCCACATGCAAGTCCAAGGCCACAAGATGCCCTTAACTGTGCCCTGAATGTCACACAGGACCTGGGCTGGGATAGTGCTGCCAAAGAGATGCTTCACAGACGGTGGCTGTGGTGGAGTTGGGTTCAGGATCTCCACAGAAGCAAGAGGAACGAGAACTCCACTCCCTGTGTGCCTCCTTTCAGACAGAGAGGTGACCCAGGATGGTGTCTGATAGGAATCAGAAGGACAAAAGAAGGCTAAAATTATTTCCAAGGGGCAGTTACATGGATAAATAACTGACTGCTGGTTCTCAGACTTGAAGATGCATAACTAGATGAGATGCTGTGAGCAGAGTGTCCCTGAGTGTGGATGGCACAGCCAGGGGAGGGCAGAGACAAACCACCAAGTTCAGGATGGTGGTGCAATCATGAAAAGGGAAAACAGTGCAAAGCACTGCACTTCCCCACGTGTCTGTGCAGCAGACCCTGGCAGCAGATACAGCAGCAACAAGAACGAAGGGAAGATTTCACCTCTGTGTGTACATCAAAGGATTTAAATGTTGGGGTGACATGAGACAATCACCTCAGAGAGAGTACAGAGCTTGAAAACAAACAGTAACAACTGTTAGGACCAGACTGTGCACAAGAGTAATAAAGACACAGAGATGAACCTGATGAACAACCAGGTACAGCCCCCGTGCTCAGCCCCAGCTCAGGGACTGAGGCGATGCTACTTTGTGAAGGGTCTTGAGAGAGGATATAAGGAATTTGTGAGGAATATCAGCGGCAAGGAAGCCTGGAGGCCATGAAGGATGTCACGTGGATCCACTCAAACAACAGCTTCACAGGGAAAAGGGTCCAGATGGTTTTTCTGGGAAAGCCACGAGAAAAGCACAAGAGCCTTGACTGGTGCTTCCCTACTTTACCCTCTGCTGAATTCCATGTGGAAGTCCCGCAGCGTCCCTAAAAAATTAAGCTGCCACAGGCTGTTGTGAGCGAGGGATAGCCAGGTACCAGTTACCATCACCTGAAAGGTGTTCCCCATGTCCAGACAACCAGTTATCACTGACTGGAAGATGCTTCCATCACCAGGTAACCAGTTACCACCACCTGGGAGGTGCCCCCACGACTGGGCAACCAGCTCCCATATACTGGAAAGTGCTGCCAGGACCAAGTGACCAGTCACCCCTGTCTGGAAGGCACCTCCGAGGCCAAGGGACTGGTTACCACTGTCTGGAAGTTGCTCCCATGGTGGCCACCACCCCCCAGACGGTGCTGGCCAGACCAGGCAGCCCGGGAACCACCGAGAAGCTGGAGGGAGAGGTTTGCACGGAGCTGGTCCTGAGCAGGACGGTGGTACCCAGAGACCCCCGAGGGACCCTCGGGGGGCTGGAGGGCACGGGGATGGAGAGGTGTGATGGACTCCAGTGTCGTTAATGTCCAGATCATAGAAAGACGTTTTGTCAAACTGCAAAGACGGGGATGGGGGGGACAGGGATGGGGGACGACCTCCCCCCACCCCGAGGGGCTCCGGCTGCCAAGGGACCGGGGAGGGGAACAACACCAAACCACCGGAAAAAGGGAAAAACTCAGGAATTTTTTTAAAAAGAGCAGAGAAAGAAAAGGGGCGAGAAGGGGGGGGGGGCACCGCAGTCCCCAGTCACTGAGACCCCCGGGGGTCCCGGGAGCGGGGTGAGCGCATCCTGGGGAACCTCCCCCCCCTCCCCGGGGGACCCCCAGTCCTGTTCCCCCCCCAGCTCCCGGGACCCCCTCTCTCAATCCAGGTTCCCCCTCCCCGGGCCACCCCTAGACCCGGGACCCCCCCAGTTCCCAGCCTCCCCCACCCCTCCCCAGGCCCCCTCCTCCGCTCCGGGACCCGCCGGGCCCGGTGCCCCCTCACCCCGCCGAGCCGCTCGATGGCCTCCGCCAGGTGCCGGGCGCTCCTCCCGCCGGGCAGGTCGAGGTAGAAGGACTGTCCTCGGAGGGGCCGGGCGGTGGCGGGGGCCGGGCCCGCCATGGCGCTCTCAGGGGGGTTCGGTCCCGCCGCCTGTTCGCGTTCAAACTCCGCCGCCCGCCCCGCCCCTCACGGCGGCCGCGCGGGGCCCCACTGCTGCCCGAGGGGAGGAGGAGCCGTGCGGGGGCACCGGGGGCACTCGGAATCACCCCCCGGTCCCGCCGCTCCCGCTCGGGCACCAACCCCGGCCCCCGGCCCCGCCGCTCCCGCCGCCGCCACAACTCTGTCCCCCCGCGGCCGCCGTACCCCCCCACCCCTCCACAGGCCCAAGATGGCGGCGCCCGGCGGGGCGGCCGCGGCCCCGATCCCGAACCAGATCCCGAACCAGATCCCGATCCCGGCTCCGCCGCCGTTCCCGGCCTGGCTCGCGGCGCGGCTGGACTCGCTGGGGCTGGACCGCGCCGTGTACGGCGCCTACATCGAGGGGCTGCTGCGGGAGGAGGAGAGCGACGAGGAGCGGCTGGAGGCGCTGCGGGCCGTGCTCGCCGCCTGCCTGGTGAGGGACGGGGGAACCGGCGGGGACCGGGGCAGGGGGGCCTCGCCGGGGCTCCCACACGGCCCGGGAGGTGACGCCGGCGGGGCTCCGTGGGGTCCGGCGGGGGACGGGGTGGGGCCAGGCGGGGCCGCTCCCGCGGAGCCCTGGGGTGGATCAGCCCCTTCCTGGGGTGCATAACTCCCTTCCCGGCTGGATCAGCCCCTTCCCGGGATGGATAATCCCCTTCCCGGCTGGATCACCCCCTTCCCGAGGAGGGACGCACCTCCGTGAGCCTTTCTGTCCCCTCCCCGGGACCCTCGTGGTGTTTTGGGTGGGTTGTGGGTGGCTGGTTTGTGCCAGCTCGGGGCCGGTGGAAGCTCTGGCAGGGGTCAGTGGGGGGCACAGCGATCCCCGTTATTTGTGTGCAGGGCTCGGGGGTCACTCCTGGGAGAGCCCTGGCGTGGTTTGAGATGACTTTCAAGGATAAATCCCCCGGCGAGGCTCTCGGAGGGTGTTGGGAGCTGCTCCCGTTCCCCACAGCACGTGGTGTCTGCCAGGACGGGCAGGAACAGCCGCGGGGAAGCTCAGGGCTTGTCTCTGCCCCTGGCACATTCCTGGGACAGAGCCAGGGGAGTGCAGGAAGGGATTTCTCTTCCACAGTTCTCTCCTGGATGATTTTTGCAGTGTCTCGGGGTGTTCCATAAAGGGATGTTTCAGAGTGTGAGATGTTAATTAGTGAGTGGTGCTGCTGTTGGTAACAGTCTGCTGATTTCCTTCTAAAATACCAGTGTGGGAGCACAAAACCCAAGGGGGCTTTGTCATTAAGATCAGGTTTTTGTTATCACAGGTTACAGTGTCACTTCATTCCTGCTGTTCCCTGGCTGTGCCATTTCAGGCAGGTTTTCTAGAGGTCAGAGCACCCTCAGTGCCTTTGCCATCCCCCCAGGGCTGTGCACCAGCAGTGAGCTCCTTCCTGCCAATGGAACTGGCAGGGCAGCTTTGAGCCTAAAACAGCAGGAGAAGCAAACAGTGTTAGGGACAGAGCCAGATGTCTTTGGAAAGTGCTGTTCTGGAGTAGCCAAGGTTAATTAACTTATCTTTAACTACCAGACTTGCTTCACTCCATCACCAAAGTCCCCTGTTTGACCCTTGCCAGGCCTGGGAGTGTCCTGGCTGAGCTGAGGCCCTGCCACTGATATTCCCCTTTCCTGACATTCTGGGTTTGTGCTGTTTTCCCTTTTCTCCCCAGTCCTGAGTTCCCATCAAGTCCAGGGCTGTCTGTGCCCTCTCCCTGTCCCATCACAGCCTGTTCCTTCTCTTCCTTTGCTCCTTTGCAGTTTCCAGCTCAGTTTAATTTTTCTGCAATTCCTGTAAAATATTTTAGTCTGTTGAATGCTCAGACTTTGTAATTACTCTTTTAATTATGTTCTTTCCCCCCCTTTTCTTTATTTGTAGATTCTGTGCTTATTTCTCTATTGACTTGTGAAACAATCTTTTATTTGGTGAATTGGGGCCTTTCTCACCAAGTCTTTTCTCTTAGTTCTGTACACAAATTCCAGGTTATTTTTTTTTGTTTAAGTGTTTGTTTTTCTTTGTTCATTTGTTTGTTTTTCACAACCATTATGAAAGTGAAGCTCAGGTGACATCTGGACTCGTGTCTGTGGTTCCACAGTGCTGACCATGCCTTGCACTAGTTCATGAGTTTATTCAAGTGTCACCATTTCTAATCAAGGAATTTAAAATTGGGTTCTGTTTCTGTCCAGTTCTTTTCTTCAAACCAGACAGAACCTGGCTCACTTGTATTTTCCATGGTTATTTTTTCTCTGTATTCACTGAACTCCAAACCAGCCTCATTTGTGGCGGTCGCTGCCGTTTCATTGTGAATCTTCATTTCCCTCCATTTCCCTTCCCATTCCTGTATCTTGGCAATCACTTCCCTGATTTCCTTCCTCCTGCTCACCGAGACAGGTGCCCAGGGAATGTGTCTCTCCCAGCTTTCTCTCCAGGCTTAATATAAATTTCCTTATCATTCTGCCAGCCTTGATTCCTGTGGGCTGGGATTCCCTGCACCCAGGGGAGCCCATCCATTCACAGGATCCTTCTGCCATGAGTGTTCCTGGCACTTAAAAACTCTCCTGTCTTAGAATCATGGAGTCATGGAATGGTTTGGGTTGGGAGAGACCTGAAAACTCATCCAGTGCCACCCCCTGCCATGGGCAGGGACACCTTCCACCAGCCCAGGTTGCTCCAAGCCCCGTCCAACCTGGCCTTGGACACTTCCAGGGATCCAGGGGCAGCCAAACCGTGCTGGTTTTCCCTCTCTTCCTGCACCTTGCTGTGTGCCAGGGCTGGGAGGGTCCCCCTGACTGCCCCTGAGGTGCTGTTTCCCTGCACATCATCCTTGTTGCTCATCCAGTGCATGTTCCTGGGAGGATCCCGGTGTCACTCCCGGTGGGAGTGGGGTTGGTGGGTTCTCCCAGACCTAAAAACCCACCTGCTCTGAGCAGAAGAAATTCTTTTCTAGGCAGAGTTCATCAGGCTTTTGGCCTCTCGGAGCTTTTGGCACAGGCAGGGGGAAGGCTTTGCCTGGCCAGGGTTTGGTAGCAGGGGCACAGGGGTGACTTCTGTGAGAAGCTGCTGGAAGCTTCCCCCCTGTCCAGCTGTCTCCAAGACACCTGGTGCCTCTGGAATAACAGAGGAAAGAAGAGGGGAAAAGCCATCTGTGGATGCTCAGTAATGAAGAACAGTGTGGATGCCCCTGCTGCCACCTCTGGGTCGTGTCTGGTGCTCCAGGCAGGCCAGGGGGACCCCACTGTCCCTGCTGCTGACAGGGGATGGTCTGTCAGTGCCACCACAGCGGTGTCAGCTCCGTCCTGGCCCTGACCCACAACTTATCCAGTCATTTATTCCCTTCTGTGGGCATGGAGGTGACGTTGAGTCGCTTCTCTGTGGCCTTGCTCAGGAAGAAAGAGGACTCTGGGCGGTAGATTTTGGGAGCAGAGATCCCCAAGTGCCTCCTTGTGCCTGTGCCTGTGGCACCAGCACAGCCCCGTCATGAACCCTGCGTGAGTTGGAGCTGTTGGTGTGCAGAGGGACCGGTCCTGGTGTGATTGTCTCACCCCAGGGTAACCAGAGTCCTGTGGGTGTGTTTAATGAGCAGGTTTGGGGTGAAAAGCTGTGTCCTGAGCTCACTGCTGGGGCTTCAAATTCTTTGCAGCTGGTACTTCTCCTGTCTGACTCCAAGACTGAGGAATCTCGTTTCCCTCACTAGGAAGAAGATCTCTTGAACGATGTGTGCAGGGAGGTCGTGGAGAAGTGGTCTGACTCTCAGGTTGTTGATGCCAAAGAGGAAAAAGAAGGTACTGTGCTCTCAGGGTGCCTTGGGGTGCTGACCCGCCCCTCATTCCATCACTGCTCAGTTACTGCTCCATCCTGAGGTACAGAATGGGAAGGAGCAGTTCCACTTTGGGCTGTCCCTGCTGCTCTTTGGGTTCATCTCCCTGCAGGGGAAAAGCTCTTTTTTGTTTATTTTTTCTTTTTTTTCCCGGTGGGGGTTGGAATGCCATGGTCATTAAGGTCCAACCTGAACCATTCTGGGACTTTTTTCAGGACTCTTTCCCAGCACAACCAGGGCTGTCTTTGCTCAGCACTGACACTGCAGCTGCACTCTGGGGGGAGATGCAGCAATTATGGCATAAAACACCTGTCTGCTCCAGTTTATGCCAATCTGGAAAGCAGCTGGTTTGGACAGGCAGCTGGAGAGCTGGGCTGTCCCTGCTGCTGACCCCAGGAAAACACCCCTGTTTCCTCTTCCAACATCTTCCCTTAAAACTCCCCTTTTTCCATAAGTGCTTGTTGGAGGAAGCTCTGTGAGGCTGCTGATGAACCATCACTGCTCCTTCCCCACCTGTGGGTACAGTCCCACTGTTCCTGTGTCCCCTGAGTCCATCCCTGGTCCCTGAGCAGGAGCCCTGTGCTGGAAGGATTTGCTGGTTCAAGCACACTGGGATCAGTGAGTGACATTCCAGCAGCAGGGACCTGACCCGAGCCCGGGACAAGGGAACATCCCTTTGGGCTAAATCCTGCTTTTTGTTTGCTTTGCATTTTGCTGTCACTCCTGGTTGCAAACAGCACGTTGTCAGTGCCCAATGTCACCCAGGAGTGGCTCTGGCAGTGACCAAGCCCAGCATTCCCCTCTCCCTCACCCCCTGGACACGGCAGCTCCACCACGCAGCAGCTCACTGGCTTTCCCCAAAAATTCTTGGCCTGACCTTGCCTTTCCACGCATCAAATAAAATAAATTCCTGCTGGGGACAAGTGACTGGGATCGCTGGAGCTGCTGCTGGGCTCCTGCTCATGCCAGTGCTCACCCACAGGGATTTTTCTTGTCACAGAAGGGCAGCAAAGTGTGTCTGAGTTCATGGAATTCGAGGGTTTAATTATTTCACTGGGGTTCCATGAAAGGATAAATCACCACTGAAGTCTGTGTTCTACTCAGAACAGCAGAATCCTGAGCATAAGTGATTGACAGACTAAAAAATGATTTGGTGTCAAAACTTGGAGGTCA